AACAACACCTTTTAACCAAAAGTTATATTGTTTTCAAGCATTGCATATGTTCATTCTGTAGCAACACTTCACGAAATGTTTGTTCTTTTCGAATTCAAAAATTAATATTCACTTGAATATTTTCTTGTCATTTTAAAACACACTCAATATTATTATTGTTAATAATTTATAACAATCCCCCATTTGTTCTAATAATGACAAGACCAATTTCAGAAAAAAGAGAAACAAAAAATGTTAGTACAATTAAGTATCTTTTGATTTAAAGCTTAACCTTAGTAAAGACAACACAAAGTCTAATCAGAATGTTAGGTAGCAATGCTTTTAAACCATTAATCCATGTGAATAGACCTGCGTTACCTCACACACATTCTTTAAGGTTCTTCGCCTACATTTCTCACCTAGCACTTATTTATGGCCATATGCTTTCCTGTTTCATGAATTTTTCATGAGAGAAACTTCAACTCTCACTTTGAGATGGCATCATCTAGAAATTCACATAGGTGAAGTTCATATTGTATCATTTTCCATGAGACACATACCATCGATATTGAACTTCATTAAGAGTTTAAATAAAACTCAACCCTCATTTTAAAGGTCAGCATTATCACGAAATGTTCGACAAACATCCAAATCAATGACTTGTTGTTACCCATTGAATCTTAAGGTTAATGTTCTACTAACGTAAGATTGGGTTGCCGCCACTGTCGGAACTCTTACTCAAGGAATTTCAATTCAATACCTCTCGAGATTATTTTTACTAAGTCTCTGGCCAGTGACTTAGTAAATGGATCAAGAAAATTATAACTCGATTGTATATGTGTGAGTGATTACATCCTTAATCGATTTTTCTCACGAAAGAATGTCTAAGTCCTACTTGCCTAGACTTTCTGTTATACAATTTTTGTATGCTCTAGTTAAAATGGTTTGACTACTGCAATGTATCAACATCTTTAAAACATTGTCTTTAGTCAATGAAACTTCCAACAGAGGGTCCCTTAACCATTTAACTTCTTCACAAGCGAAAACAAGAGTCTCAAACTCTGATTCAATGGTTAAGAGAGTGATCCAAATTTGTTTCTTGCTCTTCCAAGAAATTGCACCTTATGCTAGTGTAAATATCCACCCAAAAGCATATTATTGATATTCAACACTCGATATCCAACTCGAATCGGTATATCCTTCTAATATGGCAGGAAATCTACCATAATGGAGACCAAGATTTTTGGTTTTCATAAGATATTCGAAATTTTATAATGATGGCCTTCTAGTGTTTCACCATTTGGATTGCTAGTAAAATCTACTCATTTTACTAATTACAAATGTTATGTCGGTTCAAGTACATTGCATGCACTTGCATATTCAAATTAAGTCATAATTCTTCCATCATTCTTTTAAAGTTTGACACTATGATCAAATAGAGTGGTCACTTCCTTAAAGCACAAGTGTTTGAACTTATCAAGCACTTTCTCAAAATAGTGTGTTTAACTAAGTTCATAACCCCCACTATTTCACTTTACTTTGATCCCTAAAATTATGTCAACTTGTACAAGATCATTCGTCTTGAATGTGGAAGTTAGAAACCTCTTTGTTTTTAAAATTTCATTCATCTTGTTGTTAATGATAAATCATATAAACAACATGAATACATATGAATATCACAATATTCACACACAACCTTGCATACAAATACTTGTAATAAGAATTAGATGAAGAAGGTTTTTAGATAATCATGCATGATAGTGCAAGAAGATTTTTAGATGAAGTGATAGATAAATTTATGAGCAATTTAAAGTAGTATAGTATAATGAACACTTTATTTATGTTCACATGTCTCAAATCTTCACTCTGCTAAACATTCTTGATCGACTTCATATTGATGTATATGACACTTTTGATTCTTTTCTTCTTTTATAATCTTTGTCTTCATCAAAATTAAATTAGATATAAGATGTATTCCTCACAGTCTCCCCTTTTGATGATGACAAAATATTTGAAGTTCTATTTTGATAATGATTGAAAAATCTCCCCCTAAGTTGTGTGTCTTTCCATTAATTGGTGAATCATGCAACGACAAAGTCAAACTTTTGATGTCTTTGTTTCAGTGCTTGTTTTAATTCGTACAAGGATTTGACAAGTTTGCATGCCTTTTGTTCATTACCAAGAAGCACATAACCTTCTGATTTCTCCTTGTAAATCTCCTCATCGAGATCTCCATTTAGTAATTCCGTTTTGACATTCATTTTATGAACTCTAAGGTCATGCAAATAAGCTAATGCAAACGATACTCTAATTTCATTGTGCTTGCTACTAGTGCATATGTGTTGAAATAATCAACACCTTCTTTTTGTCTAAAACCCTTGGTCATTAATCTAGACTTGTATGTGTTTAGTGTACCATCACACTATGATACTTCCTTCTAAACAACCATTTGCAACCAATGGGTCTTAATTCTTTAGGTAGATTGACAAATTTCTAAGTTTGGTATGACATTGTTGAATCCATTTGTCTTGGATAACATCCTTCCAAAAGCGGTGACCTTTGAAGCTATTACTTCTTTATAAGTCTTATAATCATCTTCCACTTGAAGAATAAGAAGCTTACAAACAAAATTCTTACTATTTCCTTCTACTAGATAAAAGAAATAAACTGATTATCAATTTTGTTCGGTACTTGATCCTTAGTCTTTCAGATTCTCTTGCTTATTCTAAGTTCAGGTTGCTTTTCAACAATCCAGGAAGGATCTTCCTCATGAGATTCTTCATTAGTAACGAACTTTCGGTTTGTTTTTCAATAATCCGTTGAGAACCTTCCTCACCAGGTTCTTTATTTGTGAAATTCTTGAATTTTTTATCCTCTGTGATAAGCTTCTCGAAATTCCACAGCTCGAAATTCAATAGCTACATTATACTTCAAATTCAGAAGTCTATATAAGTCATGATTCATCTTTATATATGCCTTATAATAATGAGTTTTATTGAGCCAAAATATGCTATTCATATAGCATCTCAATCCAAATTCAGTTGCATAATTTGGAATCAAAACTTTAATTAATTTTACCATTTTGGTGATTAACAAACTCTGCTTTGATAATAATTCCAAATTATTTAAACAGTGGTACGTATGAAATTGATTAGCAAAATTCAGTGTTAACACAAAATTACACGATATTCCAAATTTATTCTTCGGCCTTTAAGATACTTAGTTGCATTTCTCAAAACAATGATGAAGATTTGAAATTGTATATACCATATCAACAATTTACAAAATATCATAAATTGATTAACCAATATTACAACTGTTATGGCACATGAAAAATTTAATGGCAAGTGCACCCACTTGCAAATAATAATATTTAAATAATTAAAATAAACTTTTATTTTTCTGTATATTACAGTACCGTTAAAATTTGAGCAAAACATCACATTAATCTAATAAAGTGTACCTGCTCATGCGCATCTATTGATATAAGTGGCCATTTTTTTCTTACCATTTGAAAGAAACTTTATTCAAAATTATTTGAAAAATCAAACCAAAGAAATTTTGCTATACCTAATTAGTAATCATAATGCTAGATAAAACTTTTCAACAAAACCATATAGACTTTATATCAATTTTGTTACTGCTATGATAATGCTTTGTATTAGTTCGAGATAGAAAATATATGTTAAAAAAGAAAAGGATTTTTTTTCTTCATATTATCATAAATAAATAAATAAATAATAAATACGGATTTGTATCATATATGTTAGTACTTAATAGTAGATACACCAAAAAGACCACAAAGTATTTGGGTGTAAATATCATGTAACACTGCTTCAAAACTCTCAATATAATATATGAAACAGAAATGCTTGTCCTACAAAAAGTTATAAATAAAAAACTTATAACAAAAAGAAAACAACGCATAATCAGGTGTTAATGTAGGATATACATAATCTATTTTGCCAAGTAAATTTTGTTATATCGAAAAAGTCTAACTTTACAAAATTTTGGTTCATCACTTTATGTTTGAAACAGAAGCCTCAGTTGCAAATTATTTGTCATAATATATTAGAATCGTGAACGAAATCACTTTCCTTAAAAGTATTTCAGACACTCAAATTTGTATGGGAGTTGAAACGCTGGGAGTTGAAACGCAGGGATATCCACGATAATTCAACCTCGAAGAGTACTGTCATGTATGTGTTGTTTCACAAGATTGCGACCCTTGATGAAACAACACCTTTTAACCAAAAGTTGTATTGTTTCCAAGCATTGCCTATGTTCATTCTGTAAACGCTTCACAAAATGTTGTTTCTCTTCGAATTCAAAAATTAATATTCACTTGAATATTTTCTTGTCATTTTAGAATACACTCAATATTATTATTATTGTTAATAATTTATAACATTACTAATATAAATGTAAATTTCACATAAAAGGAAAATTCTCATATTACATCTCACCATATATAAATTTGTAAATAAATTAATAAATTTAAATTTAAGAAATAGAAAATATTTTAAAGTAAATCAAATATTCTTGTGTTATATAAAGATATGCAATTGTATAAATCAAATTATGATTTTATACCAAAATCATACAATATCAAATTAATTACTTATAAAATTAAATTAAAACATACTAACTTATGACACAAAATTGGACATAAAATCTAAATATATAGTGATAAAAAACAACCTAAGATTCTCATATTACATAACATTAATTTTATTTTCATAAAAAATATAACTTATCGTACATATATCCCATAAAATTTGAATTGTCAATATACCTCAAATATTATGGATGATTCTATTTAAAATTGATAATTTTAAAATCATAAAAAATAAATTAAAATAAAACATATATCATAACTGTGTGAATGTAACAAAATGTCAGCATCAGAAGATATAGTTTCGCATAATATGCAGTTATTGAAATTTTAATGCAAAATAACACTAATTGAACATAATATAATAATAAGCATAACTTATTAATGTTCAGCAATGGAAAGAACATCAACTCCAACCAACCTTTTTCTCAAAGTTCTTATTGTCCCAACTACGATATAAACCATCTTTCTCTACGTTCCAATATATATCGAAATGACCTTGGTCAGACTGAGGATCATATGCTATAAACTGAGCCTGTAAACCATTCCAATTTGCATTACAAGATTCAGATTTATCAGCAGGATATGTCCAATGATAGGGCTTTTGTGGATCTAGATGACCAATAATTCCACCACCACTCAAACAAGTAAGCATAATACCATCTGCCAAATTAACACGGATGTTAATTGAAACCTCAGAAGCATTGCATAAGCTATATGAAAGGAGGAGAGCCAAAAAAATGGCAATATATTTTAGGGTTGGCATTTTGAAAATTTGATGTAAATTTAATATGATTCTTTTTCACACACAATTGATAATAGTTTATTTCTGTATATATAATGACCTAATTCAAAACTCCATGATATATATATATATATATATATATATATATATATATATATATATATATATATATATAAAAGGAACCAAATTTCATCAATAAATTATACTGATATTTACACTCAATTATAACTTTTGATATTATTTATATTTAATGATTATAAATGACTGCTTCATGATTCTTACTAACAATATTCTCATCCCATTTTTGGCAATAAATTATTTCCATTTTATGGAATCATAATAACTTTTTGTTAAATAGATTTCTCACACTTTTATCCATTCAAGTAATTTTTTCATTTTTTAAAAGAAAAAAACATGATTTTAAAATTTTCTTTATAAAAAACACTGTTATTAATACAAAAATAGTTTCCTCTTATTTTTACAAACAATTGTTTTATTTAAATTTAGTCATACTCTATTTGTTTAAAGTAAATAATCAAATTGTTTTGTTTTAAAATAGCATACAAAATAATATTCAAAATGTGTTTTTTTTTATAAAAAAAATCATATAATTAAAAAATAGGGAAGAAACAAAAAAGGGTGACTCGATCAAAACTTTCTTAAGGATTGGATTAAGGAGTCCTAATTTGTTATGAACCACTAATGGAATCGGTGCCTTTGAAGGCTTATCCTAATACAGAAACAAAATAGAATTGATTGTCAAAGATGCTAACACATCTACACATTAATTTTCTTCTCTATAAATATGAGATAAATAAAATTTAAATGCTTAATTTTAGCTAAACAATTGAGTCAAATAATCCTAATATTATAAGGAACAAGCTTAGGCTCACGAAATACAATATTTAAAAAAAAAACTAAAGTATGGATATGCAAATATACTTTTTAAAAAATACAATTATAGAAATAACAGAATTTATATTGTTTAAATGTCAACAAAATATTAAAAATAAAAAATAATCTGCTCAAAAAGAGTTAACATTTGCACATTAACATAAAATCACTACTAAAAATTTCGTGTTTAGTGATCGAATGAGAGATTGAAAAAGCTAAAAATCGATCACTATAACATTTAGCGACCACTATAACATATTGCAAAGTACACACGTTACCACTAGGACGCATCTTAACAATTGTTTATTTAACCTGGTATATATTATTATAATATATTTAAATTATTATAATGTCATTTATATTATATTTTTTATTAAATTAATATATTTATGTTTATCAATTTTTTAATATAAACATATATTTTATTTGTTATAAAAACAAAAATGTTAAATTTTGACTAAAAAAAATTAGGAAGGAAATAGTAACCTAAAAAAAATAAAACCACCAAAATTATTAGTGACCGAAATTTAGGAAAAAAATTAATTTTGTCGCTAAAGTGACCGAAATCTTTTAGTCACAAAAAACAATTTTTTTAGTAGTGAATAAATAAATAAATCACACTATAAAGTGTCAATAAATTATGAAATCATTGTTTAATATCAATATTTTCCTCTCCAACATCATAAAAAAATAGCGGCTTCTAATTCTGGTTCATCAAGAGAAAGACTAGCAACCTCAAGATATCACCAGTCCCATCAAATAGATCCAATTCATCCCCACCAATATCCCACATTTTTGTCGCTCCTTTATTATAAACTTTATTCTTTCTAAGAGAATACGAAGATTTATATTAACAAAAACTAAATTCTTAGTCCTTTTTGGATTGAGCCTATTCATTTTAATATGTGAATAAATTCATGTGCTCCAATTTCTCTCCGTAGGAGATGAAGAAGTTGTGAAAACAAAACCTCCAAAGGAATTTCTAAACAAACCTCCAGAAGAAGTCGAATTTGCGGAGAAAGATTCATCTGTGTTTCATTTCAACAAACCATCTGTAGGGTGCTTCAAAATAACTTCAATGAATTTTGGCGCCTTTGGAGGATGAAGCTTGACATTGAAGGCTTTAATGATAGTGAACTCATGAATGGAGGAGCTAGCCATCTTAGAAATCATGTTTCCTATGAAGGCCACCTCAATAAGAATTTTATTAAGAGTCTTCTTCCAATGCCTAAAGCCATTGTTGACATGATTTCGGGCCATCCAAATGCCATTGATAATGTGGACAGTGGAGGCTTGTATAATGAATTTGACTTTAGGAATCTAATTCCTGTCATAAATATCCAGAATACTAGAGATGCTAGAGATAATAGGAGTTTTTAAAAGAACAAAAAAAGAGGTGCTCTGTTGATTCTTGATGAGAATTACAAAGGCTGCACATCAACGGAGTATCAAAATGTGCAGTAAAAGATAATCATCAGTAGGAAAACAATTATGAAGGAGCCTCTAGAAAATGAAGACATTTGAAAGGGGAACATCAATGTTCCAAATCTGCTTGGGCCACAAAAGGGGAGAAATGATATTATCCTTGAAGATGTAGGCATCTTTCAAAGTCAATTCACCAGAACCAGAATGAATCCAAACTTTACTATGAACAATGTTATCCAGAGGGATGACAACCTGATCAACAATAAAAAACAAATTAGGAATCATGTGAGTAAGATGAAAAGGAAAATTCCAAGAACCATTATGTAAGAAATAATAAACAAGAGTGTTAGTATTAACGACTTCCTGATCTTGAATGAGTTTCAAAAGGGGAGACCACACCAAGAATTTAGTCAAAAATTAGTGTTACAACTATTCCCCAAAACAACTATGGTATTAGAAGTAACACAATCAAATTCATTTTTAAGACTACTTAAAATAGACGAAGCAACATGCTATTTTATGGGGGTACCATCTCTAAGAACTCTGACGTTTAATATGATAGCCCAATTTTCAGAAGGATTCATAATATACCAGCATAATTTCATGTTAAAATCTTCATTGATAGTGGAAAGGGATCTAAGCCCTAAGCCACCTTACTCAATAGACTTGTAAGCCTTAGCCCAAGCTATAACAACAAGCTTAGACTTACTGATACCACCGGACCAAATGAAATTCTTACTGTATCTCTATAAATATTTAATCAGAGAGTTAGGCCAAGAATATACAGTGAAGCTATGAACAAGCATAAAAGTAATAGAAGACTTAACCATTTGAATTCTACCAGCAAATTTAAGAAGAGAAACCTCCAACTAGCCAACTTAGACTTTACATTATCAATAATAGGCCTAAGGTACCTAGCTTTAGGTTTACCCTTAAAGATAGGAACTCCCAAATATGAAAAGGGAAGGCGCCCAATCTTAAACCCGAAACGAGTAGCAATATGATGGAGCCTTGTTCATACCCTAATTTTTAATCCTAAGATTTCACCTCATTTTCATCATTTTTTCATGACATCAAGCATTTCATGTGTGTGTCTTTTATACATTACTAATCCCATTGAAAATATAAAATAGGTGCCTTTCTTTGCTTTGATCACAAGCTAGGGTTTGACACAAATTAGCTCAAGAAGTTGATCAGTCAAGTATTTGTGTGGTACTCAAATTTTCAAACTCCCAATTCATTAAAAATGATAAAAAGTTTTCCTTCATCCACAATCAAGTGCAAGATTACATCAATTCCATTTCATCAAACTCCAATCCATCTGTACACCAAATTAGGGTTTTGACCAAAATCAGCCCAAGGTTGAATTTTTCATCTGAGCATGATCTCATACCTCAAGACATGTTTCAAAGGCCTCAAGTACATCATTATAGGACATTCATATGTTTGGATTAGTTCAAGAAGCTTAATTAATTGATAATTGAAGAATTCTAATTCAACTAAGAAAAAGTTAACTGTGGATAAAAGTCAAAGTTTAACTTTTGGAAATTTTGGTCAAATATGATTTCCTCAAGTCAATAATCATGGAAATATGAAGAGTGATTAAATTGCATCATGATTAATCAAGAAAATCAAGAGAAAGAGCCAAAATTGTCAAACTAGGGTTTTTGGAAATTTTCCCAAGTATGGAAATGCATGATCAAATGACCTACTTTCCAAGATTGCAACTTCCTCCTAAAGCATCCAATGAAAACACTTGAGGGATCCTATTAAATATGACATTTGATACTTAAATTTGATGAAAATTTCAAGCCAAAAGCTTTCTTGAAATGGAAGTTATTGATGTCCAAAGTTAGGGTTTCAAGTTGTGTGAAAATCTAAAACACTTAGAAATATTTCCAAGTTTTCATCATGGTCAAGTGCATTACTTTGATGATTCCTTATGAACAGTTCAAGCCAACTCTTTTGATGCTTGATGGCTGCATATAAATACCATATTTCATGCTTCATTTTAGTGAAAGAGTGGCGATAACACTAAAACACACTGCGTATTTTGTAACAGCCTAAATTTCATTAAATAATTAATTGTAGTAATTAATTGATTTAGTGGGATTTTATGTTAATATTGGAATTAATTTTTATTAATTGGAATTAATAGAGAATTGAAAGGAAATTGGAAGGAAAGAAAATAAAAGGGATATATAAGTGAGAAAGAAGAGAAAGGAAATTAGAGAAAACATTTGGAGAGAAAGAGGAAAGAAAGAAGAAAGAAGAGAAAGAGAGGAGAAGAAGAGGAAAAGTGGAAAAATCATTAAGAACCAATTTCGAAGCTCCGATTAATCGAGGTAAGGGTGAGAAACATTGCTATTTAATTATTGTATGCTATTATGTATGTTGGGTTTGGGTTTGTGGATGTTTTTCATCACTTTCCATTTTAGGGCAAGTTGGATTAATCGGTAGAATGATGATTTAATCGGTTGAAACTTGGAAATAATGTCGTAGAATAGTCGGGTAACATGAGGGTATGTTGTTTGTACTGATTTGGGTGTTTGAGGTTTGAGTGATGATGAATTGATGAAGGAGAGGCAGAATAGGGTTCTGTTCTGCGCAGGTTCGCTGGCTCTCGCCAGGCGAAGCCCAGCGAATGCTGGCGAATAATTAAGTTTAAGTTCCAGTGGACTTCGCTGGCGAGTTCGCCAGGC